CCTTACACAGACAACCCGAGGGAATGCAGGGATAAGATCTCAAAAACCCTTTGAGGGCCAGGGATTTAGTTCAGTGGTCCTGGTGCCTGCCTTGGAAGCTTAGGGTCCCGAGTTAGATCCCCATAACAACAACAATGAAAAACCCTTTGAGATTGAGTCTATTTTACATGACCATCAGGTATTATTATGCCTTTTTATGGTGTTCTTTGGGAACTTTAAAAAATTTCTCCCTCTGGGAAATTTTGGTCATACTAGAATTTTTTAAAGATAGGGAAGTTACTCAAATTAGTTCCTCCAACTTCCCTTTTCCCTGGACATTTTAACCATCACATTGTAAATGTCTTCTAAAAGACCAGGTTCAAGGGGCCTGGAATTTAGCTCAGTGGTTCTGTTGCTTGCCTCGCAAGCACAAGGACCCGAGTTCTAAAAGACTAGGTTCACAGGTATAAATCTCTAATCACAAGGTTTTATATTTGTAAGTGTTTCTTCTAAGAATTGAAGATCATGGTCTCCCAAATCAGGAGCTAAACACGAATCTGGTGCTAAAGACAGAGAGGAAAGAACATGACCAAACAGAATGTGTGGAATTTGAAATGAACATAGTGTGGTAAGGCCATTGGGACCCCTTCTAGGACCTTGGTGAAAATTCAGCTCTTTCTGCAGACAGTGTATGACTGAAATGAGAATTTTAAAAAATGCTTTATTAAATTCCTTCCTCATCATCCCTCCTTTAATTAGCTGTGTATTATTTATGGTTCACTCTTTCCCTTGTTTTTCTACCATTGCCAGCCCTTTGGAGGCAGGAACTGGCCCTATTTCTTATCACCTCCAGTCAACAATTCTGTCCTTCCTCCTCCCTTACTTAGAAGCCTTCACTGTTTCTTCACTGTCCCTAATTCCCAGATTTTGTATGACTACATGTGCTTATCAGTGTAGTAAAGTTTTCCCTCTCTCATATATGATCTGTATACACATGCATATATATATATATATAGTCCCCTTGCTATTATATTTTACATAAATAATAGACATCTACCAAAATAGGAAATTTAAGAAGATGACCTAAAAAAGTATGAATAGAATTTGTAGTATTTTTTCTCTGCATTTCCTGCACATTCCACTCTAGAAACCAGTAGTCTATAGGATAAAACCAGGTTCTGCAAAACCACAGTCTTTAAACTGGAGTCTAGTTCTCCTGAGTATTACGAGGCTCAATTTGCAGATTCTCTCTCTCTCTTTCTTTTTTTTTGGGTACAGGGATCGAACTCAGGACCTTGCACTTGTGAGGCAGGTGGTGGCACCATTGAGCTAAATCCCCAGCCCAATTTGCAGATTCTGATCGACCAGTGGGTAGCTGAATGGATTGGATTGAAGAGATTTCTCTTTTCTACCTTCTCCTTGCAACTGCTCTTAGCTCTTCCAACATTACCCTTCAGCCCTTCCGAACTGTATATGTGCTTTTACCCCAAGCAAATGGGCCCTGTCTGCAGGAGAATCTCTTGAGGGCAAGCAGAGAAATACTGAGAGGGTTTCACTGTGTTTCATCCACTTGACAAATTCCCTGACAGCCTCTGTGCAAGGACAGCCAGTTATTTTAGAATTTCACTTCACAGGAAAGAAAGTGGAAGCCCTTGTAGTATTATAATTTTCTTTCTTTAGTTGAAAAAAAATGAAGCTAACCTTTTTCTAATAGAAAAATGAGTGTAATTGGTTTGGCTACAGGGACTGGTTTTGCCAATTAAGTGATATTTTCTACAAATGGGATGCGCTGGTTCTGTAGCTCCAGGCACTTTTTTCTTTTTCCTAGGCTGGCCCTGAACTCCCTGACTCCAGCAGTCTTCCCACCTTAGCCTCCCGAGTAGCCTGGACTATACGTGCATGCCATGGTGCCCAGCTTCACAGTCACTATTTCAACCATGAGGGACAAGCTAACTTAATTCTAGGGTCCAGACAGAGATTTCTCCCACAGCCCATTCCATGCTGTTCAGAGAATAGTTATATAATTACAGAACAAGCTAAAAGTCAAGGGAGAGTCATCTCTCAAAAATTTTTCCCTTGCTTTTTGCCAAACACTAATATTTGAACCCTGTGCTTGACTGCTGTAGGAATGGGCAGCCTTTTTTTTTTTTTGGTACCAAGGATCGAACTCGGGTCCTTGCGCTTGCACAGCAGGCAGCGAAACTACTGAGCTAAATCCCTGGTCCCATGGGCAGCCTTTTTATACTGGGCTCACCAGAAAGAGTAATGAATGTTCTAGGGACACCTGTGACCAAAGTAACAGGTAGTTTGCATATGTGGCTCTTGTTTTTAGGGTGAGGCTCCCTGTAAGCAAACAAGTTAATGAAGTAAATAGAGCCAGAGAGGAGAAAACATTCTATTTGAAGGAAATGCCTTGTGCCACATGAGGGGAATCTGGGAGGGTTCAAGGTATCCAGCACCCACTGCTCCCACTCTGTGCCCATCACTGTCCTGGGCCAGTGGCTGAAACCCCTGCACTGAGGAATGCTCAACTCTCTACTGAAGCCCACATTCAGTGCTGATTTGACACCAAGCTACTTATTTTAGTGAAAGAGTCCCCTACAAACACATTGGTACAGGCGAGGTATGACAGATGGGGCATCAGCCATCAAAGATTTCCTGCAGTAGTCACAATTTGGGACCCCATAACTCAGTGTTCATTCAAAATAGAAAATAGGGCCGGGGATTTAGCTCAGTGGTTCTGCCGCCTGCCTCGAAAGCGCAAGGTCCCCAGTTCAATCCCTGGTACCAAAAAACAACAACAAAAAAAACCCAAATAGAAAATAAATAAAGAAAATATACTTAGTCTTCTAGTTATCTAATATAATCCACCCATTCACTGCAGTAGGGGACTTTTATTTATCATGCTTTCTTGGTTGTCTGAGCATCTTCTTTAGTGCTCCTATGGAGGATTAAATTGTTTTGTTTGTTTGTTTGCTTGTTTGTCTTTTTAGACAGGGTCTCACTATGCAGCCTAGGCTGGCCCTGAATTCCTGATCCTCCTGCCTTAACCTCCAGATTCTGGGATTACAGGCACATACCACCATGCCTTCTCTATGGTCACTATGGCAGTAAAATCTCACAGATCTCACCCAAAAGGGCTTAGTTGTTGAAGGATCTCCTTAAAACTATGATCTGTATATGGAAGTCACATTATTGCAGATAGGTAAGTTAATTAGATATCTTGTAGGCAGTTAGACAGGGCCGGCCCATGAGGAGCCAACATGGAGGACAGTGAAGACACTTTCACTAAGGCCAGCACTGTAAAAGGAGAGGAACAACCACACCCAAGTAGGATGAATAGCAGATTGACATTCTAAATAGGTATCCATCACCAGAGTGGTGGGGCCAAGGTCTTAACTCAGCCTTTCTGGGAAATATCCCTGACCCACCCTTGCTGAAAATCTTTGTAGGCTTGCAATGTGACTTGCTTCCCCATCTGACCCCCATTTAATCAATAGTACCTGGGTGACTGTACTTGTAATCTTTTTGGTTGGTCATAGTTTTGCCCCACCTCAGGCCCACCTTGTAAATTTCCACTGGGTCTTATAGTTTTGTTCCACTTTGTACCCGCCTCACCGCATGGCTTTGGTGTATAAAACATCTTTGAAAACTAGGGGGGTGGCGGGGTGGGCAACTCACTTTCCAGTCCCCCTTGTGTCTCTCTTAGACAGAAGCTTTCTTTCTCTTAATAAATTTTTCCTACTCTTAACCTCCGTTGTTCCTAGAATTCATTCTTTGATTTTAGAGAACACAAACTTGCATTTTGGATACCTAGCAGGGTTTTGGAGTTACATCTCTCTCCCCTATATCAATATGACAAGGACCCCAAAGACAACACAGTGAGGCTCCAGACAGCTGCCTCATAAAACAAGTTGATACAGCTGTTTCATCTCTTTTAGGAAAGCCATTATAAGCTTATCCCAGAACGTAAAGGCTCCATTTTGTTAGACTTGATGAGATCATCTCAAAATAAAATGGGCTGGGGATGTAGCTCAGTGTGAAGGCCCTGGGTTCAATTCCAGTACCACCACCACCACTACCATCACCACCAAAAAAAAGTAATTATCAAGCTTTGCAGAGTGAGAACTATGTTTGATAACATGTTTCCATTACAAACGCTTCTATCAGTAATACCATATTTTCTCAGACAGGTGGGCCAACTCTAATCTGCTCTAACATTCTGCTTTCTGCCAGTTCCTGAAGAGCAAGAGCTCCAACAAAATTTGCAACAATGGTGAATGCAGGCTTATCATGAATTACTGTATGTATATAAATGTGTTCGGAAATGGATTTAGACTCTTGTGTGGAAAGGATCTGTGGTCTCCTAAATAGAAAAATCTTTGCCTGAATCAAAACTGACTTAAGAGTTTGAAAATGGTAGCAGGGCTTAATGATCTTATATCAAGCACCACCAGGGCTACATTTTAACACCTCCCAACTCTCAGATTAATTTTATTTCTGTCACCCTCTTCACCTCTGAAATTCTTTCCGTTCAGCAAAATCATTTCCATTTAAGAGAACAAGTACACTGTTACTTCTGTCCATGACATGTGTGTGTAGTGACAGAAAACAGTTTTAGTTTTCGGCCCTGAGCCGGAGAGACTGTTGGTATTATGAAATTATGCCTCTTTGCCTCCCTAAGCTCCAGGCTTTCCTAAGAGACCAACAGTCAGTTCAGGTCAGGGGATTTAGCTCAGTGGTTCTGCCGCCTGCCTCGAAAGCAAAAGGTCCCGAGTTTGATCCCCGGAACCAAAAATAAATAAGTAAATAAGTAAATGCCGGTTCATTTACAAAGTCCGAGGGGTCTTCAACATGGACACCATTTTGTAGTACAGGATCAGTTTAGTCTCTAGAAAAGCAGACTGTAGGGCCGGGGATGCCGCTCAACGACACAGCGACTGCATGGCAAGCTCGAGGCACTGGCTTCGATTCCTGGTACAAAAAAAGTGAAAGAAAAGCAGTCTGTGTGTGAACGTTACCTTGGTGTCAGAGCTTTTTCTGGGCAAAAAGCCCGGCCTGTATCTGCAACCTCGACATTTCCTGGCCCGCAGGACCTTGCAGTGCGGCGGGGCGTCCAGCAGATGGCGCCGCAGTTGAATTTTCGTGAGCTGTTGTCTGTGGCTGCGAGAAGTCTGGAAAAAACAGGAAGGGGATTTTTTTTTTTTAAAGCATTCTTATTTTCAATATACATCGCCGTATTTGCCTTATTAGAAGCACTTTATTCAAATTAGTTGAATCGCATTTGAGATCTATAAAAAGATCACTGATTACGCAATTTCAAATGGTTTTTCTTTTGCTTTTCCACTCTTTCAAAAACCACCAAGAGGTAAGTTTTCAAATAGCATTGGGTGTCACAAGCGCACAGAGGTTCAGAAACGCTACAGGCAGCGCTGAGTGAAAAAAGGCGGTTTCTAAACCGACCAGCAAGGGCGTGGCGGCTACAGGCTCTCGGGGCCATTCGGGAATGACCTTGGTGGCCTCGGGGCGGTGGCTGCAGCTCCCAGACACAGCGCCGCCTGCTGGTGAGAAGGGACAAAGAGCTCGGCGCTCGCCCGGGAAGGAGTGGGCCTCGCACACACTGGCCGTAGCAGACGCTCGAGTGCTGCGCGTCACCCGGAGCCAAAGGGGCTGAATAACTGGCTTGGGCACAGTCGCCTTGCCTTTCGGTCGAGAACAGAGCGCTAGAGGCCTGCGATAGTTTTGTTAGGCCATGTTTCAGCGTGTGTAACGGTTTTTAATGCTTTCTGAAGCTAAGAAGTATAAGCTTGATTTTTTAGGGTAACATTGTTATTTTAGACAAGCCTAGATAAGAGTGAAAAATAGAACCTGTTACGGATGGGTGGGCTTTCATCTATTCTTGCTTTGATGGATTTACAAAATATAAAAATCGGTTGTGAGGCAAATTGGGAAAATGAGCTGTGTCAAGCAGGAAAAATGAGATGAGTTTCAAGGTGAATTTGTCATTGCTGCCCCTCATTTTTATTCCAGGGTTGTTGCTCGCCTCTTCTGGAGTCCCTCCTCCTCTCCCCACTTCTTTTCTCTCTTCCCTCATTTGACAGCCGCCTCTGCACTCTTCTGCTTAGAACACGTCATCGTCCTCCACTGGGAGAGAATCATGGTGCCACCTTTCTCCCCCTATGGCTGAAGACCACAAGAAGATGGCAGGCTGGGCTTCTGCTCTTCAGTCAGCAGCCGCCAGGAACTGGAGCTGGAACTGGCGAGATGATGTCACGCAGCTTTTCACTGACCAGGTGCTTTCTCTTACAGAGCCTGTCTTTCACCTTGTCTGGATGACTGGTGAATAACCTTCTAGTCAGCTTCCCTTGCAGGGATTCCTAGAGCTTTAAGTGTAAGAATTCTGCATCCCGGTTTTTCTTCTAGTTAAGAGAGTAAAGATCTATAAAAGAATAATTTTTTTTTTTTTGGTACCGGGGATCGAATTCAGGTCCTTGCGCTTGCGAGGCGGGCGGCGGAACCACTGAGCTAAATCCCCGGCCCCACACACGAACAATTTCATAGATGGACACTTGGTTAGAAGTCATGCTGTTTGCCAGTTTCCTGTTTTGACATGATTCCCACCTTCCATCAGAGCAGGGCTGTGGACATTAATTATAAGTTGTGGTTCAAAAAGAGGACTCTTTCATCCAGTAGCACCGGAAACACCCAAATTAGGACTGGAAGAGAAGGGTGGACTCCTAGGTCTTGTAAGTGACTACTTGGCCTGTAGCCCTCAGTCTGGATCCAACCACATGAGTGCTGAGCCCTCAGTATTTGAAGGACAGAATAAAAGAGAGCCGTGGATATGTAGTAACTTTTAGTGACTCGGGCTGGCTCGAGGAAGAGCCCTGATATTAGTTTATCTGCAGGGAAACGAGGAGGGGAGTGCCCGTTTAAGTGTTACTGTATTATAAAAGTGACCTTCAGGGAGAGGATACATGGACAGGGCTGATAATAGTAATACTGCAGGAACACAAGGCCCTTCTTCCCCCTGGACTGCAGAACCGGAACCGAAGGTTCCTAAACTAATCCCAGGGAACAGCTCGGAGCCTCCCCTGCAGCAGTCCCCAAGGGAGTCGGCGTCTGCTCCGAGGGGGAGGGGGAGGGGCCGCGTACCCTTTGTCCTTCCTCGGAAAGGGGGCTCTGTCTCACACAGCAGCTGCTTCCGCTTCTGCGGAGGGCGGCAAAGTAAATTAATCACCAATACTGATTTGGACAGCATATTTTTGGAGCTTTGAACTCTGAAATGCAAGCTCTAACTAATTTTAGAATTCTAATATCCTCTAAGTTTTTGTTGTTGCTGGTTTTTGTTTGTTTGTTTTTTCTGTGAGCTGCAGATCAAACCCAAGTCCTTGCACTTGCTGTCTACCAGTGAGCTACACCTCAGTCTTTTTAAGGGTTTCCAGTTTGTAAAAATAATTCAGAATGTGCCCTTGCTTATCAAAATAAAATTAAAAGATCACCTTCAAAAGAGGTGGTGCATAGTGTTTTGTTTATACTTAGCCCAACAATTACTTGTTATTACAAATTTAAGAATGTGCTGGGCCGGGGGATGTAGGTCAGCGGCGGTGCACCTGCCTGGCAAGCGCAAGGTCCTGAGTTCGATCCCTGGTATGGGGCGGGGGTGGGGGGTATCCGCTCTTAGAGAGGTAGGATTTAATGAGCAGATTTGTCTGATAAGAAATCTCTTTAGCAGTAAAAGAGGGCTCTCTGAGAATCTCACCTTTTTACAATATAAGTGATATTTTTCTCCAAAGAATGTTTTAACATAGCCTCTCTAAAAGAAGAAAAACACATTTTCTGAGGTGTGGCGCTCGGGTACTGGCTCAGGAACAGGCCTGCTGCTCCCTAAGAGCCCAGCGCATCTGCTGCGGGCTGATTCTGAAACCACAGCCGACACCGCTTCCTGGACAGTTGAAGCGGCCTCTCCGGCCCAGCTGGAATTCCAGTTTGGGCTGCTGGAATGCGTTCACACACAGAAAGTGGGTTTTGTGGGTCAGAGAAAGCTTACTGGGCTCAGAAGGTTAAGAGGACACTTTGGAAACACCATGGGTTTATTTCCTGGGTATCTGTTCCCACAATAGGATCGTTTCAGTCTCTTCACAGGGCAAAGATAGTTCCTTTTCATATTTTATTTGTTTTTTCATTTCATTTGGCTGCTAAACACCCGCTCATGCCGTGCAGGAAACCGCGAGCGTCCGAGCGTCCGAGTCTTCCCGTGAAAGCCCCCAGTCGGTGGGGTGGCGGCTCTGGTCAGCTCTGGGGCTTCTTTTCCTTCCTGCCCTCCGGGAGAAGCGAAAGTCGCCCGACCAGGAAACCAGCCCCAGGGGCGCTGAAGGAGAGAGGATCTAATGGCTCCAGCTCTCTAGGTGACGCCCAGGCAGGCTTCTAAAAATAATTCTGAAGCTAGATACTGAATAAATGAGCAGATATTCCTCATCTATTAAACTAATTAATTAATTTTTGGGTACCAGGGATCAAACTCGGTTCCTTACACTTGTGAGGCAGGCGGTGGAACCTCTGGGCTAAATCCCCGGCCTAAAGTACTTTAATTAAAAAAATTGTGACCACTGTGAGAGTAAGACGTTTGTACGATCTATAAATTTTACTCATACTCAGCAGGGTGATGAACGTGGTAGGGAATACTTGCTTTTTAAAATTCGATAAAGGGGCCGGGGATTTAGCTCAGTGGTTCTACCGCCTGCCTTGCAAGTGCAAGGACCCGAGTTGGATCCCTGGTACAAAAAAAACAAAAAACAAAAAACAAAAATGCATTAATAGCCAAGCATGGTGGTGCACGCCTGTAATCCCAGCACTCTGGGGGGCTAAAACCACCCTGTATAATTTAGCAATTTAACAAGAGCCTGTCTCAAAATAAACAATGTTTTTAAAAAAGGGCAGCCGAGGTCGCTCAGTAAGAAGCTCCTGGGTTCAATCCCCAGCACCTCCCCTCTCCAGGCAGGAAAGGAACAATGAATGGATGTGGTCTAATCTGGAGATTCAGCTTAGTCTTTAATTGTCATTTGTGAGGAAACTGGAGAGTGACACTTTGTAGACAGACTACACTGTGGGGATGTTGCAATTTATCTGAATGATAATAGTAACAGCCAGCATTGCTACATACCGGAAATACACTTTGTACTTGACATTTAAACCTCATTCCACCCCACCCGGAAGTTTTTCTTGTTAGTACTACCCTTTTTTACATATTACAAAACATTACACAAGTCATATAATTTATCAATAGTCACGTAAGGACTACTCCAGCTTTTAGCCATTCTCCAGTGCTTTGGGACACAATGCTGCACCGAGTCATCTACTAATGGCATTTGTAGCTGCATTCATTAAACACCCTTCTCTGAGCCTCATGATAGGTCTGATGGGAGGAAGAGAAGAAAGGAGGAAAGGGGCCGAGCAAGCACAGTTCACAGTTCACACAGTTCAATTTCCTGGGTTTGCTGCTACTTGTAATCTGTGCCCCCCCCGCCCCGCCCCTCTCACTGGGTGGGCATTGAACCCAGGGACCCTTTACCACTGAGCTATACCCCAAACCTTCTTATTGTGAGACAGGGTTTTGGTAAATTGCCCAAGTGGGACTGGAACTTCTGATCCTCCTGCCTTGGCCTCCTAAGTAGCTGGGATTACAGGCCTGCATCACCGTCCCCAGCTCTATTATCTCTTCTGTATACAGAGTAAATGTGTGTGTGGGGGGGGAGTAAATGTGGACTAGGTGGTTCAAAAGAAAGAAAAAAAAATTTGCTAAAATATTGGGAGACTGAGAGCTATCAAGTCTACAACATCTAGATAATGTTCTGTGGGCCCTGGGCTTCACTTCCACACTCACTGTGGTGGGTCCTTGCTATTTTTACTTCCTGTCTTGTGTGTTGTTAGCAACACTCCAATCAACCACAGAACCTGTATCTGTCTCTACCTGTCCCATGAGTACAAGTATAGTTAAATGTTGAGTTGTTATGCCATTAAGGAACTTTGAAAGCATAGGTTAGGTAGAGAGAAAACAGTGAAAATGACAGTGCATGAAATGCCAGAGCTATGTGAAATGCAGTTTAGAAGAATGAATTATATTTAGATCTACTGACATGAAAAGAACTCCATAAGGCATTTTTTTTTTTAAAAAAGCAAGTTGAGAACAAAAAGTAGAGAATGACACTGTTTATGTTTTGTAAAGTCATACAAAGCAATAGTACACACACACACACACACACACACACACACTATACAAACACAGATAGAAAACAGTTTGATAATAGTGGTTTTTCTGGGAAGAGGACTGGATTAGGGGTGAAGTGGTGGTAATGGCAAACATTTTCTTTATCATTTTATAAGATAATTTACTCTTATAAAAGATATGTAAAAGAAAAGAAATAAAACAGTGATGCTGTTAGAAAATAAAAGGTTTTCAACACACAGTAAAGTGGTACAAATACACCAATCTAAAAACATTGCTCCGGCCGGGGATTTAGCTCAGTGGTTCCACCACCTGCCTAGAAAGTGCAAGTTCCCGAGTTTGATCCCTGGTACCAAAATAAATAAATAAATAAATAAATAAAATAAAAACATTGCCCCATTGATGTCCGTAAGAGACCTATTGGTGGGGCCAGGGATTTAGCTCAATGGTTCCATCGCCTGCCTCGAAAGCTCAAGTCCCAAGTGTGATCCACGGTACCAAAAAAAAAAAAAGACCTACTAGTTAGATTAATCATTGATTAGAAGAGTTCTTGTATTTTTTTTTTTAGAAGAGTTCTTGTATTGACATTATTATGAATTTCATGATTTTTAAAAATTTAATATCTCATCACTACCACAAATATGGTCCCAAGATTGGAACTAGAGGACTTGAGTTCAAGGCCTGACTGTGCATTTCTTTGTAACATTGGCCCAACGTCTGTTTCAACAAAATGGAGAGAATAGTAACATTTTACAGAATCCTGGGAGGATTCAGTGAGAAAACGAATAAAAAATAACATCAAACCCAGGCAGACTGATGCTTATAAATTACAAATTGTGCTTATTTTTATCTCTTCCCATTCTCTCCCTCCCACTTCACAGCATTATTTTTCTCTCATCTTTAAGATGTCTGACTGTCCCACATTGAGGCAGAGATAAATTCTTAAACCATTAACCTTCAGTATAATATTTGCTGCTAATAAATAGAACTCTCATATTTGAGACTTTACATTATGCAGAGGCATGTTTTTTAGGCTTAGGTGCCTGTGTTTGTGTATTTATTTTAAAGAATATACTTATTTAATTGAATTTATAAAATATTTCTTTTCCTTATGAAACCCAATTTTGATGCAAGAACTACAATATCCAAATCAGAGAGGTCATTTAAAGTACAAGCCAAAAACATAATTCAATTTTTTTTGTATCTTAAAATATGCTTGTCATCTTAAACAAAATTTTAGGCTGTTATGAAATTTTAAGAATCCAATTTTAACTGTTATAAGAAAAAGAATTGCAAAAATAATAAGAAATACTAATGCCATAGATATAATTAAATTCAAAAAATGGACAAATTCATAAATATCAATTGCATGCACATTATACCATGTCTAAAGCCACAGATGATATAACTATTTTCCATTACATTCTCACCTTTGAAACAGAGCCAGGTTCTCCTCTGCTTTTGCTGGACGTATATGAGTTAAAAGGTTCAGGGACCTGGAGAGTCCTGATGGAGTAAACAGGAATCCAGTTAGAGATGTTTTACAGTCTGAGTTCAGGAAGGATCCGTTTGAAGGAACCATTTTCAAGCACACAAAGCACACGTGTCTCCCACGCTCCTCCACCTCATTAAACTGGGCTGTCATTTCAGAGCTGGGCGCCCATTGTTCACTTTCTTCTACTCTAATTAGATTTGACAGATTGCTCTTTCTGGCTAGACTGGCTGTTGCCAAGAACAGAGAGAAGAAATGAGGTTGACCTTGTCATGATGCCCTAGGGACAGTGCCCCCCATCTCAGTTTGCAGATCACAGAAATGCATCCTCAGCAGCCTCCAGTCTGTTTTCCTTCTCCTTTAGCCTCGTACATGCCCCTGGCAGTCTAGTGCCACTGAATTTTCTTACTTTCAGCCTAGGTGGGCTGTGGAAATGGAGTAAGTAGTGCTTTAATATTTTTAATAATAATACTCTGCCCTTTGTTTTTTCTATAGGCCTCAGGTGCAGAGGGGTAGGAAGACCAACCAGATTTCTAAAGAAAAAGATACTTCAGACCCTCCCAGGAACTGGAAAATATTGATTGCTTGATTAAATAAAGCTTGAGAATTCATGTGTCTGAAGCAATTTTTTTCAGGCTGCCCTGTTTCCATATCTGTAAAACATTATTAATAAATTTTGATCCTTTACTGTATCAAACATGTTACATTAGTATTATGTAAGGCTTAGATAACAAAATAATAGAAAAATAAAATAATAGAGCTGAAAGTGATCTTAGAGATCATCCAGTCTAATAGTTTTGTTTGAGAGATTAAAAAACACAGACCTAAAAAAAATTAAGCAAAAAACACAGACCAGGGCCAGGGATTTAGCTCAGTGGTTTCGCCACCTGCTGCGCAAGTGAAAGGATCTGAGTTCGATCCCCGGCACCAAAAAAAAAAAAAAAAAACACAGACCAAAAGAGGGAAGTGACATGCACACCATCATGATATTAGTTAATAGATTTTATTTTATTATTTTATCATCACTTCTCGGCCTTTTGGCTAAGATCAAGTGTTACTATTTTATGTTTTTGGTACTGGGGATTGAACTTGGGATCTTGCTCTTGTGCGGCAGGTGGCAGAACCACTGAGCTAAATCCCCGGCCCAGTTAATAGATTTTAAATGGTTGATAATGAACGACAGTTTGCTAATTGGCTTTGGCAATAGCCTGCTTTTTTCCAGGTATTCTCTCCTTGATGATATACTATATTGGTGGGAAAGCAACTCTTTGCTGAGGAAGGAATTCCCTTCACCCCAGGACTGTATTTTCAGAAATGCTTCTCTTTACTGAGCACTCAGTGGTCTTGTAACAGAATCTGAGTCACCAAATGCCACAGGACTTTCAGAGGGACACAGGCTGGAGTTTTGGGCCTTGCTGTAAATAGGAGTGGCCCTGCCTCTGCCCCAGCCTTGGCTGTCCCCTGTAGCAGCTGTTCAAGAGCTGTGAGCAAGAGTGACTGAAAGTTCCATTTGGGACAAATTTAGTGCTTATGAGGTTATCATGTAAACCCATTTATTTATTGTGCATTTGCTACACAGCAGTCAGATGGAGAAGTGGGATCGGGTAGGGTTTGGCCTGCATAGTATAAGAAGCAATCACCAGGTCCAGGGATTTAGCTCAGTGGTTTTGCTGCCTGCTGTGCAAGCACAAAGACCTGAGTTCAATCCCTGGTACCAAAAAAAGAAAAAGAAAAAAAGAAGCAATCACCAAAGATGGATTGAACTTTCAGGTAGAAGTCAGAGGAAACATTACATGAAGAGGAAGAAATTTGGACCTTATCTTGGTAGCTCATAGGAATAATTGAAGAGTTTTAATAAGGGAAGTGCCTGGTGTGGTGGTGCACACCTGTAATCCCAGCACTCAGGAGGCTGAGGCAGAAGGATTGCTGAGAGTTCAAGGCTAGCCTGGGCTACATAGTGAGACCCTGGCTGAAAGAAAGAAAGAAAGAAAGAAAGAAAGAAAGAAAGAAAAAGAAAGAGAAAGAAAGAGAAAGAAAGAAAAGAAAAGAAAGAAAGATCCAAAGTACCTTTTAGAATGATGGCTCTGATGGTGGTATGGAAGATGGTTTAGAGGGTAGATGGGAAGGAGCAATACTCCAGGCAGGGAAGCTAAGAAACCACTGAATATATATATATTTTTTCTTTTTTGACATGGGGTCTTGCTATGTTACTTAGGCAGGCTTTAAGCGATCCTACTACCTCAGATTTCCACATGGAGAGGAATAGAGGATTGCTGACAACACCATAGAACTATACAGCTGAGACAAGACAGCTGACCTAATCACTTCAAGTCAATGAGAAGGATAAAAGGGAGGGAATTGTTTAGTTTCTAAGAGACTTCAACTACCTGTGAGGAAGTATACAACTAGGTACAATGTGTGGGTCTTGTTTGGACCCTGATTAAAACAGACCAAGTGTAAAGAGAATCTTTAGGAGACAGAATTAGATGATATTAATGAATTAGTATTAATAGAATTTTTTTTTTTTGTACCGGGGATCGAGCTCAGGTCCTTTCGCCTGATGAATCAGTGTTAATTTTGTTAGGTACCATAATGTTATTGTCATAGCATAATAAAACAGCATATTGAAGTGTTGATGGGTAGGATATTATGATGTCTGGTTTGCTTTTAAACCTTTACAAAAAATAGACAAAGTAACCATGGCAAAAAAATTAATGATCAAATCCAGATGATGGCTATGTGGGGCTCGTTATTCTTCATGTATACTTCAAAGTTTTCAGATAAAAATTTAACATTTTAGGCAAAAGATAATGAAATCCTAAATTAAAGGAGTTACGCTGGGAATACAGTGGTAGAGCACTTGCTTAGCATGGGCAAGGCCCTGGGTTTGATCCCCAGCACAGCCCCCTCTGCCCCACAAACAAAAAGATTGTTGTGGGAAAGAATAAAGACAGAATTAATAACACTCAGTGACTGATTAAATGTAGTTATTGAAAATGAAAAGTTGAAATGATTTCCAGGCTCTTGGTTGGGTTTGCATGGGGTTAGCAAGGAGTGGCTTCCACACATCTAGGCAAGCTGAGTCCAGCGGTGTGATCAAATGTCTTCTGCTCAGGGAGACTTAAAGAAGTGAGGAGGGTGCATTCTGTACAGAGATGAAAAATAGAAGAAAGTTTATGAGGGACCAAAGCTTCCAAAATGCAATGATGGAGGTTTTGGAGAATCAGGACAGCAGGAGATTCTTTCGGCTTCTGACGGATAGATCTCATGATCCTCTTCACTGGTGTCCCAGCTATAATTCTCAGAGCTGGGGATATAGCTCAGTGGTAAAGTGCTTGCATGCCTAACATGTACAAGGACCTGGGTTCGATCCCTAACACCACAAAAGAAAACCCAGACAAGTGTGGTGTGCACACTTGTGATCCCAGCACTCTGGAGGCTGAGGTGGGAGGATTGAGTTCCAGGCAGCCTGAAATACACATTGATACAATGTCCCAAAAAACAAACAAAAAATTCCAAATATATAATAAATATGATTCTCTCCACTCCATGTGGTCTTGCTGGTATCATATCCAAAAATGTTTATGGAATGTCTTGAACACAACACACCATTGTGGCTTAAAGATTTTTCTTTCTTTCTTTCTTTCCTTTTTTTTTTTTTTGATACTAGAGATCAAATTCAGGACCTTGTGCTTGCAAGGCAGGCAGCGGAACCACTGAGCTAAATTCCCAGCCCTGAAAGATTTTTCTTTAGCTCCTAATACTGTACCTATTGAGTTAGATATAGTATAGGTAGGTGTTTAAAACTCTTCTTTCTTTCTTTTTCTTTTTGGTACCGGGGATCAAACTTGGGACGTTGTGCTTTCGAGGCAGGGAGCAGCACCACTGAGCTAAAACCCTGGCTTTAAAACCCTTTTGTATTCTGGTCCCAGTCTGCTTTCTTCTGTCTGATCCAAAAGTTTTCTTTGGTTGCTTCTTGGATTTTGTTTTACTTTTCTTTTCATGAATATCCCTTCCAAGATAGTAGGTTATTTGCTATTCTCTGAACAAATGAATTATATGAAATACTACAGAAAAGGCGCTGAGAAATATCTGGCCTATACTACTAGCAGCCCTCAGCAGATGTTAGTGTTTGGACATTGGGCTATTTATAATTCCGTTCATTTCATGCAGTTTTTCCTCTAAAGTCTCTTTCTGCCTGTCTTCATGTCATGTAACAAGATTCAAATCAGATGTCTTCTATTCTAGGAAATCTTTCCTGAGTTCTCAGCCCAGGCTGGGGGTACCTTTGTCTGGGATTCTATAGTACCATGCCTCTCTTGATGCTTAGCCTATTAGATGTGTTTAGATCTCAGTTTTCCCCATGACAGCATAAGTTTTCTGAAGATCAATGCTGTACTTTTTTATATATTCATGTAAAACTGTACCTAGCACAGACTATGGTTTTAAGTATGCTATTTTTTTTTCTTAATCTATTGGGGGCCAGGGATTTAGCTTAGTGGCACAGTGCCTGCTTGCAAGCTCAAGGTCCTGAGTTCAATCCCCAGTACCGGAAAAACAACAACAACAATCTATTGGGCAGAACGTTACTCCCTTTCCTCTTTAACTGAATTTTTATGTGATATATGATATAGTTTCTTATATATATTATACTCTCACTCTATTTGTACTGAGTTTCACGGGATGTTGTTTTTTGCCACTCCAATGTCTCTTCCTGTACTTTCCATAATAGGTCTGGTTTTCTTTGAGAATTTTCTGCTCTGAAGACAAAGACAAGGCCTAAATCAGCCAGTTGATCCCAATCCTGTGGCCTCACTATTGGTTTGAGGTAAAGTATGTGCTCTAAGTTTTACTAATCATTAAGTTTCAGGACTTTTGTCTTTGCTGAAAGAGGAGTCATATTTTCTCCTTCTCTCTCTCTCTCTCTCTCTCTCTCTCTTGTAAAGGGCTGTTGTGGTCCTTTTGATACCACAAGGGAGAAGTATGTTGGAGAAAAAAGCCAAAACATGGAGGA